ATTTTTACAGTGCATTTGGTTGAGTTCATCCTCCTTTCCCATATTACTTCAACTAAAAATGCTTCACCTAAAACGTCTCTGTCTGCAGTCCTAACATAAAGGTGTTTTGTAATAATTTCACTACAGAGCAAAATGAGGTGTGATGTGGTCCCTCAGGTGGCTGAGGCCAGGCCAGGCCATCCCTTTGTAAGGGCCTCCTGCAGCTCTACCCTGCTACCTTGGGCACCAGCAGTGTCTTAGCATGCTGTGTAAGGGACGAAAAGACATACTTTGATATTAATGTCAGCTTCAGTGAGGCTCAGGAAAAGCTTTGATAAAAAAATTTAAAAATATTTATATATATAATTCTAGCTCATGTGGTTCCAGAGCAAATGTGAAAAACTGAACCAGATATCCTCTGCAGGCTAATCTAAACCAAAACCCATAAGAGAAAAATATCCCCAGCCTATTGCTGCTTAGAAACGTGTCCTTTTCAATGGGAAGAGTTCAAGTGGATGATTCTTAACTCCTGTTTTATTGAACAGGAGATGTACTCTGAGTCCTGAGATACACCCATCACTTCAGGCTGGCACATAATGAATCACTCTCCCCCCTCTGACACTTTAAATTTCTCCTTCCCTTTGTATTATTATGTCTTAACTTCAAAGTTTGAGGAAGTTGATGTTAGCTCTGCAGAACAGTATTGCAACATTCTATATCCAGTTGTAGAGTTACCAATATCTATGCTGCTATCCAATAAAAAAAATGTAGTTAATAGCAGCTCCTTACTCAGCAGATCTATCTTTCCCATTTCAGCAAGCACACTTTAGATAATGCATTAGTTCTGACAGCAATAAAAGACTCAGACTGAGCTAGATTCCCTGGTAGTAGTATGAAATAAATGATAGCTCTGTGCTAATGGGAAAAATCTTTAATTTGGAATCTAAATCCATATACATCAATTCCATCTTAATTACATTTTAATTACATGGAAAATCCACATATAATTGCTCAGAGGTATTATTGCTTAGCTAGAGATGGTATTTAATGACTGGAGTTAATATTTAACATGTGTTATATCAGAGGGGGGGACATGCTGTAAAAGACTCAATGTATGTTGAAATATTGCTGCAATTTAAAAATCCCCAGTACCCCAGAAATGCAGTTACAGATCCAACAATCAATTAAACTTGAAATTGTAACTTCAGAATAGTCAACTATTGGGAATTTTAACACATCACTGTCAGCAGCTGTTAACCAGGATTCATGCCCCCATGTGGTTATCACTGCACTGGTGTTAGATGAGAAAAATCCCAATATTGGAAATGCCACTGGTTATCACTGCACTGGTGTTAGATGAGTTAAATCCCAGTATTGGAACTGCCACGGCAGCCTCCTGCATTCAGATTTACTTCTGGGCATAAAGAGATGCATCAAAGTAAATAAATCTATTTCCATGATTAAATTTTTCTTTTTTTATAGTGTTTTAAGATATGAATCTAATGGATATAAAGGGCTTAGGAGATATAATATGCAAAAAAAATTGACATAGTATTAGATGGATTTCTTTTGCCATTTGATATAAAGTCCTGTAACTTTCAGCTTTTCTTAAACTGATGAATCATCAAAAATAATGTCAACAGCAGGAGAAATTAATTATGGCTAAAAAGGAAAAATATTTGTAAAACATTCCAACCATCTGCAATGAAAATAACTCAGTATTTCACCTGCTGTCTGTCAAAGAAATGCTCAGCTTCTGCACAGTCCAAAGCCACTGGGCACACTCTTACACCTGCCAAAGCCACTGGGCACACTCTTACACCTGCCATTCTCCTCCCGAGGTGCATTTTAATGGCATTTATTTTTAATCCCCTTAAATTTGCTGAGTGGCATTCAAGTTTTGCAACCTGTGGAGCATTACCAAGAGCCAAGAATGCAATGGGTTGTTGTCATCTGCTCCACTCAGTTGCACCAGCAAGGCCACCTGCAGATGCTCAAGTAGTGGCCCAGGTGGTCTCCCCTGTGCTTGCACTGCCCACCACTGCAGCAGTACCCAGTACCTAGCAAGGGGACAGCACACTCCTGGGACATGCACATTCTATTTTGTTTTACAACCCTGGTGATCTTAATCATTTTGCAATAATACTAGCAACATGCCAGTGCATCAGGCTGGGCCTTAGCTGGTGCCTCCCCACCCCTCTGTTTTTCTCTTGCTCCACAGGAAAGGGGTTCTGCCTGTGCCCTGGGTGAATGGTTGGTGCTGAGAAGAGCAGAGCTAAAGTGCTTAAATAGGAGGTGGGAAGGGAGGGAACACTGGTCTGCCCTCGCCGTGATTGAGAGGCTAAATGACCTGTGAGTAAAATCTCTCCTCCAAAATACTCCTGGGAAAGGTTGTCAGTGACCTGTATAAATAACAGCCTCTCCTGACTGCTTTATTAGCATTTTACCTGCTTGTTGGCTTTCAACACCGCTCTCAGGGTTGCGATCTGCTCTCGCTTTGTACTCAGGAGTGATTTCAGCTTCAGTATCTCTTCCATTAAGGCCTCCTTGTCTTTGTCGATCATGGGTGCCAGTTCCCGAGCCGCCGCGCGTTGGCGCGACAGCTGCAGCGACCGATCCACAGCCTTCTGCAAGTGCTTGATTTGGTCCCTTATTATGGCATTGAGGTTGTAGATGTTCATCGGCTCTTTGCGGATGTCACTGGTGTCAGAGACAGGGGAGGAAGGAGGAGCTGTGATGACAGGAGAAATGCTAGGTGTTTTTGTTGGGCTCTGTTCCTTGCCAGGCTCTGTGGCTTCTTTAGTCACCTGCTCAGTCGGGGTCCTGGCTTCTACTGGTGATGCCACCCCCCGTCGGGCAAGCCGTGGGGAAAGGAGACCTCGAGGGTCGTCTGGTCCTTTCAGGCTCCCACTGCGGGTGACTCTGCTTTGCCTGTAATAGTCCAACATGACCCTGTTGGGTGTCTCATTGTTGCACAGGCAGACGTGATGGTAGAGCTGAGCCAGCTCCTCACTAAATGTCACCAGCTCGTCCTGGGCAGTGTTGAGGGTATTATGGTTTTCATTTGCTATGCTTGTCATCCTTTGTAACTCCCTTTCCATGTGGACCATTTTTTCCTGGCTTTCCTTGGTCGACTTCTCCAGGCTTGTCACCTGCTCATCATAAGTCTGGATTCTGCTCTCATACTTGGCTTTCTCTTCAGTGTAGTTTTCCACATACTTATTATATTTCTCCTTTAAGGCTTTAATTTCTGCTTTAAGGTCTATCACCTCAGTAACAGCTACTTTGTATTTACATTCTAGGATCTCCAAGCCATTGATGTCAACTTCATAGTCATGTGCTTCCTCACCAGGGTCTCGGCCCTTCTCACCATCAAGCTCAGCTTTCAGCTCCTTGTTGCTCTGCAGCCCCCTCATGGCATTGACATGCTCTGTGAGCCTGTGGACTCGTTCATGTTGCTCTGTCAGGGCTCCCTTGGTGTGCTCCAGCTGTGTCTGAGACTCCTGAAGGTTGGCCAGGAGAATGGCCTTCTCTCGCTCCACCTGCAACAGAGTCAAAGTAAGAAACC